AACGAATAACTAACTACAGACGTGTGAAACGAAGTGTAATGAAACAATCAAAGTTGATGATTTTTTATTTATTTGGGTTTAATATGTGGAGTGAAACACTTGTTTGGTTGCATACACTTTAAAGAAAATGTCATTTTGTTAAACCATAAAGTAATACTTGGAGTAAAACCTTTCTCAGTTAAACATTATTGTGTTGACTGGATGTGGCTCACGCTGGCAGACATGATTAAATCAGCCCGACTCGATCCATATTATCACCTGAATGAGTGACTCAGCAGGCAGCGAGGAAATGAAGAGCCACTGGTCACCATTTTAAGGCTTAGGATTACACACACACACACACACACACACACACACTCACACACACACACACACACACACACACACACACACACACACACACACACACACACACACACACACACACACACACACACACACACACACAAGGCACACACACACACTCACACAAAGGCACACACACACTCACACAAAGGCACACACACACACACACACACACACACACACACACACACACACACACACACACACACACAGTCCATGTATGGGGTTTAAATGAGGACATAATGGAGCAGTGATCAGTAACCGTGCAGTCCTGAACAGCAGGGGGTAACTCCTAAAGTCGCCGGGGAAACATGGAAACATTCTGAAAAAAGGTCAACTAATTAAAAAAAGTTAGTTATAATTAGTTTAAAAAAGACTCTGTGTGAACTTAGTAGATATGGAAATCTTGGCTATAATGAACAACAACAATGGTTAGTTTAAACTAAACGATAGAAATGGCTAACTACAAGTAAACATTATAAACAGTTAGCTTTAAAATAAACATGTAACAAACCTTATAAATAGCGAGGTTGCAGTCGTGGTAAAGGACCGAGTTAAGTGATTTAATAAATGAAGCCTTTCCAAACTAAACATTCCCCGTTTAATTGAACAAAACTATGTCCGCTTTTTATATAAATAACTTCAATTCAAAAGATCGGCTCCTCTGGGCTGTGAGTAGACGATGTTAAACTCTAGATGTGTCTGTGTTTGAGTCACGCTCAGGGCTGCACAGAACCGATAATGAAGCAGAGGGAGAGAGGGAATCAAAGGAGACGTCGTCACCTTGTTGCTCGGAGGGATCACAGGAAAATGGCCGCCCTTGTTTGAAGCCTTTTTGCAGTCACAATGGTGCCCAACCCCCCCTCCTTCTTCTTCCCCTCAAACAGGCCACTTTTTAAAAAGGATTACCTTCAAACACACACCGTTACTATGCCAAGTATTTGAGAACACACACACACACACACACACACTGAACCACAAGCTAACACTTACAATGAAGCCGCACTCAGATGGAAGTAATTATGAGAACTCATGACGTCAACTAAAGTGTGTGTGTGTGTGTGTGTGTGTGCGAGTAAATGGGATGTTGTGGGATGGCACTGATGGTTTCCAGTGTAATTTGTGGTCTGCTTTTGTTCTCAGCAAGTGGGTTGCCTAGAAAAAACCACCCATCTCTCTCTCGTATCACAACAACGTGAAAACATGTCGTCCTCATTGTGCGAGGCCTTTATTCGTAGAGCAACCCTAATGTCGTCTATAGTTCAATTAATTGTAATGAAAAGAGACGAAATATTTAAATAGTTGTATACATTCTCTCGAGAACATGACGCCCGTATACAAGATGTCTCCTGGCGTAAACGACAGTCTGTCTCTGCCGTCCGACGCTCTGTTCGTTTAAAAACGGTGTAATTACTCCAGAAATATGAGTATCGAACAGAAATATTGTTTTCTGGCATCACTTTAACATTTTACGGGGTGCTCCTGTTGCAGAGAGACCCCTGGATAATAATTATTTTGGTCACTAAGCCGTCTGTTTTTATAAGCTTATATCTTTAAATGTCTTTTGTCAGTTGAAAACCCAAAGATATTCACTTTAAATTATATAAACCGGAGACAAGCTTGATATTTTAAAGACATTTTCACATTAAATAATTACTTAACATCAATGGATGAGCCTATAAAAGTAGTTTTCAGATTAATTTAGCTGTAGATCGACTAATCGTCTAACTAACTTGTAAAAAACTGATGCCAATAATGTTCTTTAGGTGATCAATTAATTAATCTACCACTGGTTTTAGCTCTGGTTTGATTTCATTCCTGCCTGATGGGATTACAATGCTCTCAAGACCATCAAGGGCTTCAGAAACCAGGATACATTCACCGTATTTACACACGTTTTACCATTTCTGTGTCAGTTTGGTCCCTTTTTTCTGGTGTTTTCTAATTGTTGAAAGCATGGAGTACTTAGAAAACACCAGAAGCCGATTGGTTGAAATCCTGTTTGTCATGTGACGTTACTTTTTAGGGTGGGAGGAAAAACTTGAAAGACCTGAAAACTGGATTTTCTCGCCTAGTTTTTCCTCCACACATCTCTTCAGAGAAGCCTTTACGGCCCGTCCACACAGCGAAGCTCGACCAACAACCAATCACATGAATCTCCCGCCCCTGACACACAAGCAGCGGTTTGATTGGCTAGAGCTTGTACTGGCATATGATTTGATTGGCTGACGCTTCCACCGAAAGCTTCAGAAGTAGAGATGTCCCGATCCGATCAAGTGATCGGGGATCGGAGCCGATCACGTGATTTTCAAAAGATCGGAATCGGGAGAAAAAAATCGGGGATCGGGATTTTTTTTTTTTTTTTATAATTTTTAATTTTTTTTATTTAATGTTACAAAACAAAAATGAAAAGGCCAAAAAAATAACAGGCAAGATAGCTGAATTCATCGCGTTGGATGACCAGCCGTTATCTGTTACCTTTTTTTTCTCTTAATGCATTACATAAAGATCGGATCGGGAAAAATCGGTATCGGCAGATTGTCAAAATCAAATGATCGGAATCGGATCGGGAGCAAAAAAAGGTGATCGGGACATCCCTGATCAGAAGCTTCAAAAGTTGAACATTGCTCAACTTTTGCAGCCTGAAACGCCAGGAAAGCGCCGCTCTGCTTCCCACAATGCAGTTCGGCGAAAAGTGACGTCACCCCGTTCTCTGTGTGTGTGTGTGTGTGTGTGTGTGTGTGTGTGTGTGTGTGTGTGTGTGTGGTGTGGTGTGTGTGTGTGCGTGTGTGTGTGTGTTGTGTGTGTGTGTGGGTGTGATGTGTGTGTGTGTGTGTGTGTGTGTGTGTGTGTGTGTGTTGTGTGTGATGTGTGTGGTGTGTGTGTGTTGTGTGTGGTGTGGTGCTGTGTGTGTGTGTGTGTTGTGTGTGCTGTGTGGTGTGTGTGTGTGTGTGTGTGTCCTGTGTGTGTCCTGTGGTGTGGTGTGTGTGTGGGTGGGTGTGTGTGTGGTGTGTGTGTGTGTGTGTGTGTGTGTGTGGTGTGTGTGTGTGTGTGTGTGGGTGTGGGTGTGTGTGTGTGTGTGTGTGTGTGTGTGTGGTGGTGTGTGTGTGTGTGTGTGGTGTGTTGTGTGTGTGTGTGTGTGTGTGTGTGTGTGTGTGTGTGTGTGTGTGTAGCAATGTGATTAGAGGAGGTGGTCTTCATTATGTTAATCTTCACAGTGATTAGAGCAGGGGAAATCCCTTTATTCGTGTAATGCTGCAAATAACAGCTTTACAACTAAATGTCTGTCCGTGTGGTGGATTAAGTTAAACATATGTAAGAATCACTGTTTTTGAAGTCATTTTTAGGGCTGTGATCAGAATCAGGTTTATTACCAGGTTGGTTCACACGTACGAGGAATTTGACTTGATGTCGTGGTGCACGGATAGAGAACTATTTTATTAAAATTAAAGAATATAGTAGAATATAGCAGTATTTACATTGAAATAGAATGGTGTAATAATTAGCATTTTCAATTATTCTGCATCGTTTTTCCCCATCTTTCACTTGATCATTGAGTTTAAAGAACAGTTTGGAGACGCTGGTTATGAGTGTCACCATTAAACTATATATTCAGAGATGGCAAAAGTACACACATCCTGTACTCAAGTAGAAGTACAGATACTAGTGTTTAAAATACTCTGGTGAAAGTAGAAGTACTGACTAAACTTCTTTACTCAAGTCAAAGTAAAGAGGGCTTTGAAATGTACTTCAGTAAAAAGTACCCATAACTAGCAGCTGTTTTAAAGAGTACCTGACCTCCCTTTATATTAATAGAACAATAATGTCATTGTTAGCTAATGAATGTTTCCATGCTGAACAACGGCAACATGACAACGTTTCCATTGGTCCCTCTTCTTTAGAGAAGACCAGGAAATGATGGATACACGGATCGTGTTCAAATCAATAGGCACGCAATGACTCTAAATAATAATGATCACGCCACCAAACACACATTCAAACTAAAGGAACCAGCCTGTTTGGGAAATGAGAGAAGTAGAAAGTACAGGTATTTGGGTTCAACATGTAAGAAGTAGAAAGTACAGGTATTTGTGTTCAACATGTAAGAAGTAGAAAGTACAGGTATTTGTGTTCAACATGTGAGAAGTAGAAAGTACAGGTATTTGTGTTCAACATGTAAGAAGTAGAAAGTACAGGTATTTGTGTTCAACATGTAAGAAGTAGAAAGTACAGGTATTTGTGTTCAACATGTAAGAAGTAGAAAGTACAGGTATTTGTGTTCAACATGTAAGAAGTAGAAAGTACAGGTATTTGTGTTCAACATGTGAGAAGTAGAAAGTACAGGTATTTGTGTTCAACATGTAAGAAGTAGAAAGTACAGGTATTTGGGTTCAACATGTAAGAAGTAGAAAGTACAGGTATTTGTGTTCAACATGTAAGAAGTAGAAAGTAAAGAGTCATCAGAAAAATAAGTAGTGGAGTAAAGTACTGATACCAGAAAAATGTACTTTAACGAAGTATTTGTACTCTACTACTTCCCACCACCTGTATATATGATATGATGGGATGGTGTCTGTGTATATGTGATATTATGGGATGGTGTCTGTGTATATGTGATATTATGGGATGGTGTAGTGACGGTGCTCTGCCAGCAGGTGAGGGAGACGGAGACCTGGATGCCCATGAAGACGACGCAGACAGCGGCCATGTCGACGCACATCGAGTCTTCGGGAGATTCGCCCAACGGATCAGACTTCGGATTCACGGACAACGAAGACGACGATGATGATGAAGGCGATCAGGAATATGACGTCAACGATGGCGAAGGAGATGATGATTATGAGGATGATTATTACGATGATGAAGACGAGTTCTCCGGGTCTGGTGACGGAGGTGAGTCCCTTCAAATACTTTTACTATCCATTTAAACTAAAGTACGATTTTTTTTTTTAATTGTCTTTATGAGCCTTTCTTCTTCTTTATATCAATCAAACTTTGTGAATCTTTAGCTTGTGAAAATGTTTCTATAAACAAAGTGCTTCAATATAAAATAAGAACTAAAGTATATTATAATCAAAATGAAAACGGTGGGTCTTTTAGTTAGCCGTTTAACAAGTAATATTAATAAAATGATCTGCTTTCTCTCCACAGCAACAACAGCCACACCTGGAAGAGAGTCCAAGCCGTCAGTTCAGGTGAGACATTTCAATATTCTGCTATTTATTTAGGCTAATAATGTAAAATACTGGATTGAATTCCATTTGATATGGATTATTCCATATACTTGTAATTCTGCCTTTTGTTATGATATTTTCCAGCACTTTTCCTTGTTTTATTGTTTTGTTTCTTTCCGTTATCTGTCAAGTGGGAAAAGTCAACATTTTGAATAAAAATTCAGAAAAGTCAAAATTTTAAGTAAAATATTTTTATGAAAAGAGATAGTCAAAATTGTGACACGTTTTGTTAACAATTATCATACATTAATATTTGCATACTATAGATGAGAGTAACACATGCGTCACTTCCGGGTGAAAATCCCGGCCCCGCCCACTTTTGGGGGAAACCAACGCTGTCATTTGAATGGCGGTCAAGCCTGAAGCCACTTTTACTGTCTTTTTTTCTTAGAGGAAGTTCAGAAATACGTCTGGATTTGTTTTAAAGGTAGGGTAGGGAAGTTTGAGAAACCAGCTCGAGTGCGCTAGAATTTGAAAATACACAACCGGAGAAAATCTGCCACTTCCTCACAGAGCCCCTCCTCCAACACACACGAACGCGCACATGACCAATGAGGGCACGAGATAAGTTTGTGCACAGATGGAAGGCTGACAGGCAGGTAGGCCATCCAGTTACTTTAGCCGGGCCGGCTCAGATGATTGGTCGTGCTTTTTACAGTACTACGGCTTCCACAGATATTTTGTATGGATTTTTTGTCAAAGCACTTCAGATATTCATTGCTATCTGGATGTTAAGAGCATTACATGGAATATAAAAAGTGTATCTCGAGCCGGTTTCTCAAACTTACCTACCCCACCTTTAATGTTTGAGGTGCCATAAACGACACGGCAGCTTGTTGGCATGATAAAACAATTATTTTCCGCCTCGCTCAGGAGAGTAACAGCTGGCGAAATTGCGGCCTCGCCTACTGATTTTAATTTAACCATATATCGAGCCCGATCGTCAATTTCAAATGATTGAATGTAATGGTCTGTCTGGCCATCATGGTCGGGCTCTTTGAAGATCCAAAAATCCACGGTGTTCTTACATGTCTGATCGGATTGGCAAAAACGTCAGAATTTGTATTGACCGCCATTCAAATGACTGCGTTGTTTTCCCCCAAAAGTGGGCGGGGCCATCATTTTCGCCCGGAAGTGACGTAGGTGTTGGTCTCATCCTATGAACGGAACAAATAAAAATGAAATGAAAATATTACGGACGATTTTAAAAGCCGTGTGTTGCTCCTGGAGCAATCCTTTAATGCTTTCTCTGCGTCTTTCAGCCCGATGTGAACGACAACAAGATCCCCGAGGTGGAGCGGCCGACGGTCAACGAGTTGGAAATCGTGCAGGACACTAACGAGATCCCGCTGCTGGAAAACAAGGCCGAGACCGAAGAGGAGTTACCGTCCAACGTCCTGATGGCCCACGCCAGCGAGGACAGCATCTTCAACAAGACCGAGGTCCTCGCAGGTCAGTACTCTCTCAGGAACATACTCTCTCAGGAACATACTCTCTCAGGAACATACTCTCTCAGGAACATACTCTCTCAGGAACACACTCTCTCAGGAAAATACTCTCTCAGGAACATACTCTCTCAGGAACATACTCTCTCAGGAACATACTCTCTCAGGAACACACTCTCTCAGGAACATACTCTCTCGGGAACATACTCTCTCAGGAACATACTCTCTCAGGAACATACTCTCTCAGGAACATACTCTCTCAGGAACACACTCTCTCAGGAACATACTCTCTCAGGAACATACTCTCTCAGGAACATACTCTCTCAGGAACACACTCTCTCAGGAACATACTCTCTCGGGAACATACTCACAGAAAGATAGGTATCATGGAGGTGGGGGTTTGTCGTGGAAGTATTTTGTGTTTTTGACGACGTCTCAAAACCAAACAGGCTGTTGTTGAGGCTAAAAAAATAACCTTGAGAAATGTGTTCTATATTTACATTCATGATTTAAAAACAACCGTATCAAGAACAGAGGAATTCTTCAAGAAAACAAACCGATCATTTCCTCGGCTTGTAGGATTCCCGATCGTGTCTAAATGTTGATTTCAGTGAGGAAAAGAGCAGTGGGAATGGTAACAAAAAGATATATTGCATAGAAACGGTCACACTATCAGGACAGGTGGAAGTTTGTAGTGAAAGTATTTTGTGTTTTTGACGAGGTCTCAAACCAAACAGGTTGTTGAGGCTAAAAAAATCATAAATCTTCAACAGCCTTTCTCAAAAGACCTTGAAAATGTGTTTGTTTGCCAACGATATCCTGTTCTATATTTACATCCATGATTAAAAACTACCGTATCAAGAAGAGAAGAATTCTTCCAGAAAACAAACCATGATATCATTTCCTCAGCTTGTAGGATTTAGGTAGGATTCGCTAATGCACTTAACTTAATATTTGGAGTCCAATCTGCACTAAATGAAGGGTAAAGTTGGATCAAATCAAATGAAAGACGTAGCAGGGATGCAATGATTGGTATTCTCTGTCTGTAACGATGTACCCGAAACAATTCAGCCGATTCTTTACCTATATTCAATAATATTAATATTTAACGGTTGCCTTGCTCAAAAATCTATTTCAAATGAAATCGTATCAGAATTGCAAAATCAGTCATTATATATTTTACCCAAATCGTTCTTAAGATTTTGACATAAAATAACTAAGATGGTTGCATTCTTCTCCGTCCTCTAACGTCTTTCTTCTTCTTCTCTTGCAGCTTTGATTGCGGGCGGTGCCGTTGGTCTGATGTTCGCCGTCCTCCTCATCCTCCTCCTCATCTATCGCATGAAGAAGAAGGACGAGGGCAGCTACGAACTGGGGAAGAAACCCATCTACAAGAAAGCCCCGACCACAGAGATCTACGCATAAACCCTGACCTCCACACACACACACACACACTTACAGACACACACTTGCAGACACACACACACACACACACACACTTACAGACACACACTTGCAGACACACACACACACACACACACACACACACACACACACACACACACACACACACACACACACACACACTTACAGACACACACTTGCAGACACACACTACACACACACACACACACACACACACACACACACACACACACACACACACACACACACACACACACACACAGTGCCTCGAATCAGGAGAGAAGCCCCGAAAACTCAATCGATTGACTGACTCCTCCTCCCTGACGTTAGCTAATATTGGTGCTGCTCTCTTAACCAATCAGAGGCTTTGTTTTGGTCCTCTCGTCCCGGAGAAAAAGGAGCGACAGGATTGGACGATTTCAGCCGCGGTACACAGTGATCATTTCATGTCTCGTTTTTTATGATTTTGTCCCCATGTCAGGAGGTGAAACGTCCTCCAAACCCTCCCTCCCTTCTTCCCGTTAAAACACTAAAACTGTGCAATGATTCTCTGTCTCCGTGCGGTACACATTAACAGTCCGGTTATTTATTTCCCCCCTTCTCCGTTATGACTCTTCCTGGACTGCAGCGTCTCACGTATTACTGTAGCAAATGATTTTTTATGTGAACTTTGTTATTTTAATTTTTTCTTCTTTTTTTTAAAGAACTCCTTGTAATGCAGAGAGATTTCAGAAATGTCTTTTTTTTTTCTATTAAAGATCCCGTCATGATGGGAAAGAATTGAGCTCATGTCGTTCAAATTCCTTTTTTTTTTTTTAAAGAAGATATACATCACTATGTAGTTTAATTTATGTCATCCAATAATGTTTTTTTTAACCTCCAATTACAGCGAGAGGAGAGACAGTCAAACCAGGGTCAAGAAATATGTTTGCACAACTCACTAAACATCTTGCTGTTGTGTTTTTAGATATTTAAAACAACCTAAAAAATAGTCTTTATTTTTCAATTGAAACCTTCTGGCATGTTTAGTATTGCCTCATGTTGGGAAAATCCCATCTGTCTGGCACGTAGCGCCTGTTAAGTAAAGCTAAACTAATCCAGGAAAAAGAATTTGCAATTACTGTATCACACACGCATTCTTGTTTTACTGCATTTGGGAGGACCATGACTTGTAGCCCAAACCTTGGTCCTCACAAGTCAGCAAAACAAACGCACAATACTTTTTATTTTTTTATTTTAAAGCCTTGAAGATGTTTAACCACTAAAATAATAACCGCTGGGTTTGTTTTTCTATCATTATGGTGAACTCGACTGGACACGCTCCTACAGGGTGACACACCTACATTCCTCACATGTACACACACACACACACACACACACACACACACACACACACACAGCTGAGTCACATGCCGACTGAAGCTGCTGACCCATGTTCAGTGAAGCTCAAAGAAACAGTTTCATTTTGGGCCCTAACTGTGCGATTTGGTTAGTTTAGCTTAGCTTAGCATAATGACTGGAAACGGTGGGGAAACTGCTAGCGTTAAAATATCTCAAAACATTGAGTTAAAGTTACTGCATGCTGACAATAGACCGTTATATCCAATGAATTTTGGGCCAATTGTTTCACACGGATTATCAGGTTTGTCCTTATTATAGAGGAGAAAAATACTTTATATGGTAGGTTTCCAAATGTAGTTACCTGGTTGTAATGACGTCAAAAGACTATCTTGTTTGTTAAACATGTAAAAACCATTCTGAAAAAAGAAAATCAGCATTTTTACAGAAGGTTAAAGTACTAAACTACATCAGAAAGCTTCCAGTAAATAAATACGTTGGTCCATGATCTGTTTAAAACGCAGAATTGTCATTTTTACACTTCTGTTTTTTATAAATCATGATATTTAGTGACTTTAAACGTAGCTATTGGATGGATTTTGTTACTCGTTCGACACCCATGCTAGCAGTTTCCCTCCGTTTCAAGTCTTTGTGCTAAGCTAAGGTAATCGGCTACTGGCGGTAACTTGATATTTGAAATAAAAATGAATATCCCAACATGGCAAACATTCCTCTAACTACATGCTTATTATCCATAACTTGTTAATTGTCGTCCAGTGAAAAGACATTTTATGCTCGGAGAAACTGGTAGTTTTGGTACTTTCTGTTTGCTTCCTCAATAAGCTACGCTGACAGTTAGTTAGTTTTATATATTGTAATTATTGGGTGAACCGGTACGCTCACATTTCTTTAGCTGAAGACAGCAGCACACAGCCTGATCTACCAAGGATTTGTATATAGATAAAAAAATAAATAAAAAAAGTTGGTACTTAGCGACAAAAATATCTACCAAATATTTAAATGCCAAATTGTTTTCCTGTCCAGCAGTTACATGTGATTTACTGTCAAATGTTTTTAATACTAACTCTCATCCAGTAGATCAACTTGTTTTTTATTAATTTAACTGTCAAATTGTTGTGTTGCCTTCTTTCAGGTCGGGGGTGTTTCCCCCTTTTTAAGCTGTTGTTGTATATGTGATTTAAAAAGTTTTATATACACTAGTTTGAGGCAAATAGTTTTTTATTTTGTAAGAGTTTCTATCTTTGATCTTTTTAGACGTTTTTGTATTTATGTTTTTGTTTGTAGAAGGATGTGTGGTTGGTGTTCGTCTCTGTTGTCAGACCCGGCGCCATTACTAGATGTGTTTTGCAGCTGTCATGGAGCCAGATACATTTGCTAACATGTTTTTAGCAAATTCAAGGTTACTCCCACGCAGTTAGAGAAACATTTCAACACATTTTCAAGGCTTTTTACCTCCAGAGAAACGAGAATAATCTGCTACCTGTTTCAGCTAACGGAGGAGGAACTTTATTACGTTTGGTTACAAAGAAATTCAACCTCCCTGTGTCCGTTTTTATCGCAGTAATTAAATACCTTTCTTTGTTGGTAATGGCGCCCCGGTCTGTTTTCTGGGAGAGCGTTTGTTCTGCTGCTTAATGTCACAAACACCACATGTGAATCACCAATGGAGCGGAGGAGCCAATGAATCATTGGTTTCTGAAGGTTCTGATTTATTATTGGAAATAAAGCTATTTTTATGCACATTAACATTTTAAAACGCTGTCTCTGTTTTTTGTTTTGAATGTTTCATGAGTGAGAGTTGTATGAAGAGTCCAATTATAGACATGTGACAAAACAGGAAATGTCATGAATAATTATTTAAATAACCGACTTTACCAATAACAAGTTAATTAGACAGGATTATTACCTCTGTTAACAAAAATAGAATAATTAGAAATAAATTATACTTTTGAATGGCACGCACAGCGTAAAGCAAACACTCCCAGACATGTCAATGATTTGTACGGTTTGGACACGATATCATTTCCTTTTTGGAGGGTATGCATAACACGGCATAACACCGGAGCTTCGCTGCGGGGAAACTTTTGAGCTGTTCCGAGTTTGTTCTAATCTGTCAAAATGAGAGACTGCTTTCAGATCTTTCGGAAAATATTCGGTTAACGCGACCTCTCCCTCCGGGCTACGTTTGGGTCTACGTCAACCATAAAAGTGGAGGTGCTGTGGACGCTACATACCGTAGCTAAACACCAATCCTACAACAGCAACGATGAAAGATTGTAGCCAAGGGAGCAGAGATAGCTCTTATCACTCGCACATACACAGACATACACACACACACACATACACAGAGACATATACACACACACACACACATACACAGAGACATATACACACACACACACACATACACAGAGACATATACACACACACACATACACACACACATACACACACATACACACACATACACAGAGACATATACACACACACACACATACACACATACACACACACACACGCATACACAGAGACATACACACACAGAGACATACACACACACACACACATACACACATACACAGAGACATACACACACACATACAAATACACACGCACACACATACATACACAGAGACATACACACACACACATACACAGAGACATACACATACATACACAGAGACATACACACACAGAGACATACACACACACACACACATACACACATACACAGAGACATACACATACATACACAGAGACATATACACACACACACACATACACACACACGCACACACACACGCATACACAGAGACATACACACACAGAGACATACACACACACACACACATACACACACATACACAGAGACATACACACACACATACAAATACACACGCACACACATACATACACAGAGACATAAACACACACACACATACACAGAGACATACACATACATACACAGAGACATATACACACACACACACACATACACAGAGACATATACACACACACACATACACAGAGACATACACACACACACACATACACAGAGACATACACATACATACACAGAGACATATACACACACACACACACATACACAGAGACATATACACACACACACATACACAGAGACATACACACACAGAGACATACACACACACACACACATACACACACAGAGACATATACACACACACACACACATACACAGAGACATACACACACACACGCACACATACACAGAGACACACACACGCACACACACACAGAGACATATACACACACGCACACACACATACACAGAGACATACACACACAGACATACACACATACACACACATACACAGAGACATATACACACGCACACACACACATACACAGACATACACACACACACACACATACACAGAGACATACACACACACGCACACACACACATACACAGAGACATATACACACACGCACACACACATACACAGAGACATACACACACAGACATACACACATACACACACATACACAGAGACATATACACACACATACACAGACATACACACACACACACACATACACAGAGACATACACACACACGCACACACACACATACACAGAGACATACACACACAGACATACACACATACACACACATACACAGAGACATACACACACACACATACACAGAGACATATACACACGCACACACACACATACAC